AACTTCTACCTCATGCAAACTGAGAAAAGAAAAATAGCTGTAAAATCATCACCTGCACAACTTGTTGCAAGTCGCATAAGATTAAAGTTCGATTAGATTCTATCATTTTTTTTTTAACCAGCTCATCAACTGAGGCAAAAACTTAAATTGGAGCGGCTGCTCAAAACTCAAAAGCTTCGATTAGATTCAATCTTTTTTTTAACCAGCTCATGATCAATTGAGGCTAAAATTTTAAATTGGAGCGGTTGCTCAAAAGCTCGGTGAAGTTGCCAAACCTTATATCTACCGCCAAAAACTATAAATTTATAGGGTCTCTATGAATCCAAATTCGCCAGTTCATGTGTGTTCTTTAAATTTGTGTTTTGTCTTTCGATCCAGATTCGGCAACTAAAAATGTATTCTTTGGATTTATGTTTTTTATTTTTAATGTAAGAGTTGAAATTATTTTTATGTAAAGTGGAGGTCATATAAAAAAACTATTATCGTACCCATCATCAGGGGCGAAATTAGGAAATTAATTAAGAGGGGACAAATTAAAATCTATATATATTGAAAAAGAGAGGTCAATAAATTATTTGTGGAAACTTTTAATAAATTGGTCAACAACCCCATTGACTTTCCATTTGTAGAAACTAATTTAAAAATCTTTTCAAAATATATGTTTTTTTTTTTCCTGTTTTTTAGGGATGGATATACCTTTAACGTGATAAGATATATACATGTGATTGCATATTTTGTTGTTGCATCCCAAAAATCATGGTATTTAAAATCTATCCAAATACAATCCATAATTATCTTATCACTTTTGTTAATAAAAATTGTATAAAAGGATATTCACTACCACCATTACAACTCATCATTCACGAGTTCAGAGAAAAAAAAAATACAGAGAATAATTTTGAATCGCATATACAATATAATGCTTCCAGGCTGGGGTAAACTTGATATATAATACTTCCAGACTGGGTACGTTAACAAAAGAAACAAACTTTTTTTTGCGTCTGAGAGCAGTCCGCATTATTGAAACCCATCACGAACGGGAGAGCTATAACGCATTTTCATGATGAACAGGTAATATTTACCTTTTTTATTTCAATTTTATATAATTTAGAAATTATTTTAATTAATATTTATAACAAACCTTTTTTACGTCTGAGAGCAGTCCGCATTATTGAAACCCATCACGAATGGGAGAGAGCAGTCCGCATTATTGAAACCATCACGAACAGGAGAGTTGTAACGCATTTTCATGATGAACAGGTAATATTTACCTTTGTTATTTCAATTTTATATAATTTAGAAAATTATTTTAATTAATATTTATAACAAAGCATTATTGAAACCATCACGAACAGGAGAGTTGTAACGCATTTTCATGATGAACAGGTAATATTTACCTTTGTTATTTCAATTTTATATAATTTAGAAAATTATTTTAATTAAAATTTATAACAAACCTTTTTTGCGTCTGAGAGCAGTCCGCATTATTGAAACTCATCATGAGCAGGCTTGGGTACACTTGATATATAATGCTTCCAGACTGGGGTACGTTAACAAAAGAAACAAACCTTTTTTCGTCTGAGAGCAGTCCGCATTATGGAAACCCACGGGAGAGCTATAACGCATTTTCATGATGAACAGGTAATATTTATCTTTGTTATTTCAATTTTATATAATTTAGAAAATTATTTTAATTAATATCTATAACAAACCTTTTGAACAGGTAATATTTACCTTTGTTATTTCAATTTTATATAATTTAGAAAATTATTTTAATTAATATTTATAACAAACCTTTTTTGCGTCTGATAGCAGTCCGCATTATTGAAACCCATCACGAACGGGAGAGCAGTCGGCATTATTGAAACCCATCACGAACGGGAGAGCTGTAACGCATTTTCATGATGAACAGGTAATATTTACCTTTGTTATTTCAATTTTATATAATTTAGAAAATTATTTTAATTAATATTTATAACAAACCTTTTTTTGCGTCTGAGAGCAGTCCGCATTATTGAAACCCATCACGAGCAGTCCGCATTGTTCAAACCCAACACGAATGGGAGAGCTGTAACGCATTTTCATGATGAACAGGTAATATTTACCTTTGTTATTTCAATTTTATATAATTTAGAAAATTATTTTAATTAATATTTATAACAAACCTTTTTTGTGTCTGAGAGCAGTCCGCATTATTGAAACCCATCACGAACGGGAGAGCTGTAACGCATTTTCACGATGAACAGGTAATATTTACCTTTGTTATTTCAATTTTATATAATTTAGAAAATTATTTTAATTAATATTTATAAATTTGTATCGTAGGTGCTTTCATTAAATGCATAATACATTATCCGAATATGAGAGCAACAAACTTTATATAAACTGAGAGCAGTCTAATTTTTGTAAAATATGTAAACTTTAAACGTATTTTATATATAAAATTTTATATACTTTTAAACATGTTAGTTGGGCAAATTTTAAGGATATATATATATGTGTGTGCTAACTTTAAGTATATATATTTTTCTTATAAAATAGTCTAGACAAAATTGAGGTAATTTCACATTTTTCAATAATAATATAAAATATTTTAATACTTTCACATATGTTATATAATAGTCTGCGTATTCTTAATGTCTTTTGGTTGTAACACTGTTAACACATATAATATTAGATACTTTTAAACATATTTAGATATTTTTTTTACTCATTCTTTAATATCTATGTGCATAAAAAGAGAATAAGATTTATAAAATAAATTCCGGCAATATACTAAATGTTAGATAAAAATCTCATTTTATTTGTTATATAATATTTCGAGTTGCATTAATTTTGATTTGTATGTGTAAAATTGATAAATTAAGCGTATGAAAAGGAACGTACGAATTACTATAAATATTTAAAAAATAAAAAATAAATATAATTTTTAAATATTTTCTAAACGAATTTATGTCATAATTCGTCATAATTTTCCCACATCATGTCAATATTTATTTTATCTATACTAGGTAAAAGGTAAATCATTATCTCAATATTTATTCTATATATTCTAAGTAAATCTTCTCATCTATCTCAACGGTCTGCAGGTAGTATTTCATACTTTTCTATTCATAATCAAATATACCAAACCTTCACAAATTTTACTTCACAAAGAAAGTGTTCAATAATTTATATTTTTTTTTCCTTCTTTGCAATCCATTTATTTTTATTACATATATATAAATTATATTATTTTTAATATTTCACACGTTAAACATTTCAGGAAAATATACCATCCCGTGCATCGCACGGGTACTGTACTAGTTTTTAAGTATAATAGTAAAAAAAAAAAAAATTGAGGGGGAGCACTGCCCCCTAGATCAACATGTAATTTCGCCCCTGCCCATCATTTAACAATGGCCGAAACATAAGTTCATGACTCAAGTTGCAAAAATTATTTGCAAAAATTAAAAATCATGCATTTAATTGTTAAAAGTTAAAAGTTGAGCTTAAAAATTTATTTTGAAAATTTCCATTCCCTTTTAATCTCCCTATATAATTCCCGAATGGATCTAAGTGGCAAACTCCATGCTTCGCGATCCTATTTGTCATACTTCTATGCTTTGAATTGATACACAATTAGACTCGAGTACCATGTTAAATGTCCATTAGGCACTAGGATTTTCATAATACATTAAATATTTTCTTTATTGATTCAATCATTAGTTATTTTATTCAATATTTTTCTTCCATATCATAATACTTTTCCTTTTATTTTAATTTTTTTCTATTACATAACTTCACTTAAATCAATTACATTAATTTATTTCTAAACTTTTCTCTCCAATATTCAGATATTACTCAATTCAAATATGAAGTAATGTCATATTATTCTTTTTGAAATGATCTTTGTTTAATATTTTTTTGGTATGATGTCAATCTAATAAAAATAAATAATTAATTATCTAAATTCTAAAATTACGTATAAAGTTATATATATATATATATTATATTTGTATATATATATAGTTTGACATCCGAATTCTAAAATTATATATATGTGTTTAACTATTATAATTAAAAGAAAAATGTAATTTGACAATTTAATTAAAACACAAATTACTTTAGTTTAAAAAATAATAATTTTTTCTATATTTTTTATATATGTCTCTTAATTTAACACTCGTGTAATATATGGATGAAAATAAAAAATTAGGTAACCACGCAATACATTTTTCGAGAATTCGTATTTTTTTTTCCTTGTTTTTAGTTTAGTGAATACAATAATGTCCATGTCAATGTGACGAGTCTCAAACATTAGTACTAACTACCATATCTCCATCGTTAACAAATCATTTATTCAAGCTGTTAGGACTGAGGATCGTGACAGAAAACCGACGCCATGGCGACTTCCACCACCAGATCGACCGCCGCTGACGCCCTCTCGAAACTCGCCGTCAATGGTTTGGCATCCGCAGCTCCCAATCTACACAAGAATCTCTCCCTCCTCTCTCCTCACCAGGTATACATTTTTTCGAAATCGCTCGATTTATTGTGTTTGCGCTTGTATGGGTATAGTTTGATCGTGGTTCGAGCGCTCTTTCTGTCTGTTTTGGCGCAGGTGGAGCTGTCGAAGATGTTGTTGGAGATGAATCAGAGCCATTTGTTCGAGCATTGGCCTGAGCCAGGGGTCGAGGATGATGGCAAGCGCGAGTTTTTCGAACAGGTGATTGCCCGAGCCTTTCTAGTATTTTCAATCCATCCCTTTTCGAACAGGTGATAACCCGAGCCTTCGAATCAGAAGGTAGTGTGATTTCACATATATGCTTATCTGTTTTGTAGAATACTACATTTTCATGGATATAATTTTGCAAAGTTAATTCAAGAAATTAAATTCAGCTTTGCGCATTAATACCGCAGTTGTCCTAGTTTGACTTGTAAATGAGTTATAGTGTTTTTACTGTCATCTCCATGCCTTTTGTTTCTGTTCTTTCTGCTAGAAAGCAAACACTTTTCTGCTTTTTAAAATTAATAATTCTTCTGTGAGCGTGGTGTGTGACTAGATTTTTCAGATAGAATAATTATTTCGACTCATTCCTTATGTCTTTCATTTTACTTCCAGGTTGATCGACTTAATTCAAGTTATCCTGGTGGCCTTGCATCATACATTAAAACTGCTAGGGAACTTTTGGCAGGCTCTAAAGCTGGGAAGAATCCATACGACGGTTTTACTCCGTCCGTAAGTCAATCTTTGCATGGCTTGACCTTTTATATGAACAGTTACTAAGTGTAGAAAAACTCAAATTCTGTATCCAATGCATGATCCCTATCCGACCTCTTATTCAAAAGCCAAATCTCTGGATTCAAGTTCAGTTTGTAACTTTTGTAAAACTTTGATCTTGCTTGATGATATCTTTCTCCAATTGACATTTAGATTCACCAAAGAACTCTTAGGTATATTGTAGTCTGCCTCCACGAATCTATCAACTGTTTTAGAGGGGTCACTTGATACCTTCATATTCATTTCTCCTTTATATTTTCATTTAAAGATTTTCCCAGGTCTTGCAATTTTTCCGTAGAACCATTGACCGTTTTAATTAAATCACATATTGATCATGTGTGGAATAGGTTCCATCTGGGGAGGCCTTAACCTTCGGTGATGAAAATTTTATCAAATACGAAAATGCTGGGGTCCGTGAGGCAAGGAAGGCTGCATTTGTCCTTGTTGCTGGGGGGCTTGGAGAGCGTCTTGGCTATAACGGCATAAAGGTAACACTTCCACTAGTGATACAGAAAAAGTTAATCTCTCTACCCTGCTTTTGTGATGTTATGCCGTGGTTAACCTGAAGTTAAGTGTACATCAATTTTTATTTGCTTTTCTACAAGTCATGCACAGTTTTTCCAATCCAGTACCTACTATATATCAATCTGCATTAGAATAATAATAATAAAAAAAAGGTATTTCTGTTCATAAGAAAATTCAACTTCAGTTCTTTGACCGTCCATTTTTTCCCTTGCAGGTGGCGCTTCCAGTAGAGTCTACTTCTGGCACATGTTTCTTACAGCACTACATTGAATCTATTCTTGCCTTGCAAGAGACGAGCTGTAGGCTAGCTCCAGGTTCATTTATAAAGCTTTTAGCAAATGTCTCGAATTCATTATTTCTAGATTGTCATTTGCATGTTAACAATTGTGAGCTCAGACATTTTATGTTCTTTTTTCCGTCCTTTCCAAAAACTTAGGAGAAGGACCAACAGAGATTCCTTTGGCGATAATGACATCAGATGACACTCATAATCGTACGATACAGCTTTTGGAATCAAATGCTTATTTTGGGATGAAACCTTCTCAGATAAAATTGCTAAAGCAGGTAAATAACCGGTAGTGTCCCAGTTTGATGCCAGCAAACAGTATTGAAGTGTATTGGATTGATTCCTGTTTCTTTTATAGGAAAAAGTTGCTTGTTTAGATGATAATGATGCCAGGCTAGCAGTGGACCCAAAGAATAAGTACAGAATCCAGGTAGCTTTTTACTTTAGTTTCTTTTCCTGAAAAGTAACATCTGGATATATAATGGTAAAGATGAGAAAAATCATTCTTATTCTTGTAACACTATTCTTATTTTTTTTTGGTCTAAATTTTCTGTAGACAAAACCTCATGGCCATGGTGATGTTCATTCACTTCTTTATTCGAGTGGTCTACTTAAAGAATGGTATGTTCCACACATGTATTGGTGTCCTTATTATTGAGTAGTGTTTGTTGGAACTTGGAACCTTTCCTCTCACTCCAACTCACTAATCAGTTTAATTTTTTAATAATTTTTCTTGTTCTTTCCATTCAGGCTGGCAGTTGGACGAAAGTGGGTTTTGTTTTTCCAAGATACTAATGGTCTTCTGTTCAAGGTTAAATTGAAACATGACTTCTGGCATTTCTTTGACTTTTTCATAGTGATTAATACCTTTTTGTTTGCCAATCCTTCTTATGTTTGAAATTATAGGCAATTCCATCTGCATTGGGTGTGAGTGTCATCAAAGAGTATCATGTTAATTCTCTTGCAGTTCCTAGGAAAGCTAAGGAAGCTATTGGTGGGATTACCAGACTCACTCATCAAGATGGTAGGTTATAATAAGATGTCTTGTTCTGTTTTTATTTCTTTGTGATAACATATAATTGATACAACGTGACATTTGAAAACTGTGATAATCTTTTGGCTTGTGATTTTTCTTGTCAGTGTATACATAATTGATCACATTTCTTTGGAGGATAGAGTCGAACTTGATTATTGTTTCTAGTTCACATTGATTACAGGATTGATTGAGAATATTCTAAATTTCGGCATTTGTTTCCGTCATCGAAGAAAAAAAAAAGAAAAAAGATGAAGAGAGACTTCGTGTTATTCTGTATGAGAAGTCAGGCTGTAAAACATCCGGTCAACTAAACAGTATGAAGTTAGTGTAATCACTTTTATTCATTCAAGTATAACAGGAGCAGTTAAGGTTAACAGAAATATTCTTTCAAATATATTACAAGCTTGCAGGATTGCGGCACTTTGTATTTTGCTCACTACTGCTAACAGTATCTATACAAAGTTATTGAATCTAAACCTTTTGTCAGGGAGGTCAATGGTGATCAATGTGGAATACAATCAATTAGATCCATTGTTGAGGGCTACAGGGCATCCAGAAGGTGATGTTAACTGCGAAACAGGCTATTCTCCTTACCCTGGAAACATAAACCAGGTTTGTTTCTGAGAGATACTTTTTTTCTTTTTCCTGTTACATAAATATTATACAAAAGGACAATCCCTCTGGTTCATTTTATATTTAGGTTTAAGTTTGTTAACCTGGCTGCCACAGAAGCAATAAAGTTAAAATATTACTTAGTCATTGTGTTTCTTCGTTTGGTTTGCTATGTGGCAGCCATTTATATGCTTCTTGTAACGCCCCGTTTTATTTTAAAGAATTACCGAATTTATTTATAAAAATCAGAGTTTATTTTTCGCAAAATTCCAATTAAAAACTTTAACAACGGGCGCTACTTAGTAACATCACTAAAATAACACACATGCACGAACTATCAATAAAACAAGTTTCAAATAAACGTAAGTCTTAAAACCATTTCAAAAGATCCAACATTATTCGAAGCACAACCGAATCAAACATAGTTCAAAAAGTGAAACCAGTAAATAATCCATGGCAATGATAGCAACCAATTAAAATTCGAGTTTAAGCGGAAACATAGGTTTATCAACACATATGACCACCATCTCGCTCGTCCTACGCCACCGCCTCCAGCTCGTCTCATCCTAAAACAAAGGAAGAGAGAAGACAACAAGAAAATAATGGGGGTGAGCAACCAACTAGCTCACCATTATCGCACAGTTATTCCGTATAATTAATTTAAAAGTAGTATTACGGTAAAACAGTTCCAGTATCGGTATGCACAGACTTCCTAGCCTAAACCCCCTACCCAGCCCTATCGCAAACCTC